GGACAAAGCTATGTAGCTAAAAACCTTTAGAGGTAAATCCGAGTATATCCTTGATAAGGGAAAAATTCTTTTGAAACATTCTAATGGCATGCTATATTTTAAAACACGTGTAGGCGTTCTGTTAATCAAATACGAAGCTGTTAAAATAGCTTCCCCCCAAAGATATTTTGGAACATTCATTGAAAATATTATAGCACGAGCCACTTCAAGTAAAAGTTTATTTCTTCTTTCAGCAATTCCGTTTTGTTGAGGGGTATCCACACAAGTAGACTGATGATGGATACCCTTTTCTTTCAAAAAAACTCCCCAAAATTTTATTAAAATACTCCGTTCCATTATCGGTGTGAAAAATGCTATTTTTGCTTGAAATTGAGTTTCAACCATTATGTAAAAAGTTTTAAATTTTTTTTCAACCTCAGACTTTTCATTCATCAAATAAACCCAACATAAACAGGTATGATCATCTATAAAAGTAACAAACCATTTTTTCCTAGAGATAGTAGTGACTCTTGAAGGTCCCCAAACATCACGATGTATTAAATAAAATAGTTTGAAGAAATATAAGGTTTTGGCAAATAAGCAGTACGATGACTCTTAGATAAGTAACAACTTTCACAATAGAACAATGAACAATCCAAACCTTTAAATAAAGTAGGAAATAAATGTTTAAGATACGGAAAGTTAGGATGTTCTAGTCTTAAACGCCAAAAAATTATTTATTTATAAACAAAGTTAAAACTAACACTACTAAGGCCCTGAGCCTTTTTATTACTGGAGAAGTCACCATCAAAGTAGTAAAGTCCATCTGTTATCTTAACACTGCCAATCTTCTTCCCCGAGCTCCAGTCCTGAAATTCACAATAAGAATCACATAAAATTACACGACAATTAGATTCTTTGGTTAGTTTACTCACAGACAAAAGGTTACAGGCTAGTTTAGGGACATGGAGAACAGATTTAAGATCTATATTTTCGAATAATAATATTAAACCTTTCCCCTCAATAGGTGAGAAACTACCATCTGCAATTCTAATTTTTTCAAGGCCAAAACATGGTGAATAAATGCTAAAAAGATTGGAAAGGCTAGTCGTATGATCAGAGGCTCCAGAATCAATGATCCATGGAGTAGAATTTAAACAACAAGAAAGGGCATTAAGTGCACTACCTGTTTGTGCAGGAGAAACATTAGGAATGCCAGATGAGAAATTAAATTTTAGCAGCTTCAGAAGGTGATCCATCTGCTCCTTGCTTAAAGGACTTGTCTCAGCTTCATTGGCAGTAGAAATCACACGCCTATTTTTGTCACAAGGCTTGCTACTCTTCCAATTTGCTGGTTTTCCGTGGATTTTCCAGCAGTTCTCTCGAGTATGGCGCGGTTTGTTGCAGAAGTCGCATCAGACCTGTGGCTTCTCTTCATGTTTTCACTGAAAATTGACTGCTTTATTAGCAGCAGTCTCGGTAACAACAAGGGCAGAACTCTTAACAGGTCTACTGGTAGTCTTCTTCCCCAACATTACATGTCTGCGGCTCTCTTCTCTTCGAACCTCAGTAAACACCTCACCAATTGGAGGAAGTGGAGTCCTGCCAGTGATCCGTCCCCGTACTTCATCAAATTCCACGTTAAGCCCAGTAAGGAATTTGTAAATGCGATGAGCCTCCACGGTCCATTTGTAGTGATTGACATCTTCAATGGATTTTCATTCATAATCATTGAACAGATTCATGTCCTGCCAAAAACGCTTCAATGAATTGAAATACTTGGTGACCGAGTCTTCTCCCTGCCAAATCTCACCAAGTTTTAGAATCAATTTGTAGATCTGAAACTGATTTCCCAAATCAGAGTACATCTGATTCACGTTGTTCCAGAGCTCGTTGGCCGTGGAGTAGCACGTATAGTTAGAGCTAATATCCTCGTCTATAGAGTTCACGAGCTAAGTCATCACCATTGAATTTTCTGCATCCTAGGTCACGTACATTGGGTCCTCCGATGCTGGTGCCTTCTTGTCTCCCGTCAGGTACCGGATCTTTCCCTACCTTCTGATGTACATCCTAACGGACTGGGACCACCGCAAATAATTGTCACCATTAAGGCGAATATTGGTGATCTGAACCGAGTGAAAATCGGTATTGGGGGCTTGGGTTGCAGGATTGGTTGGCTGGGTTGTGACAGACGAGGTTGACATGGAGAAAACGTCAGACATGGTTGATTCGCGAAGAAATTGTGCAAAAAAGAAAATTCGATTTTTTTTTTTTTTTTTTCGAATTTCTTAGGGTGGCTCTGGTACCATATAAACTTGAAAGGGAAAGAAATATGGAATACAACATTTTCTCTGCATTAGCTCACAATATTCACAAGTTTACACATGTTCTTTTTATAGGAGGGAATACAAGTACAAAATCAGAAAACTGATTACAATAGCTAGCTGTTCTAATTAATAATTTCCTAATTTACATCTTTGACCAATATTCTATTTACAGCAAATATCCACCAAATATTATATTTACAGCTAATAATATTATTCTATTTACAGCAAATATCCACCAAATATTATATTTATAACTAATAATATTTGGTAGTATTACAACTGAATCTTTCCTTTTCAACAATTTTTTATAAGCTTGACCTGATACTTAACTCGGCAAAACCTTATCCAATATTATCTGATCATGATATTCACTAAGCAATATTCATAATAAAAAAAAGAAAAGAAAAGAAAAAAAAAAAAAAGGGTAAAGTACACTAACACCCCCTAAGGTTTGACATAAGAACAGTTAGATGAAAGTTAACCTATTTTGTTTTGGACAATCACACCCCTTCAAGTTTAATAAAATGGACAAAGACACCTTGATAATGGTGAATTGATTTTATTACCCTTTGATATAAATTGATAAATATAATTGACTTAAATACCCCTGTATCAAATAAGTTGAAATGGGTTATTGGGTAAAACCCATCTGATAAACTCAAATTTTCTCTATCCTTACTCTCTTCTTTCCTTCCCCTCCCTCAGACCCTAATCCAAACAACTATTTGATATATATATATATATATATATATATAACTATAATAGATCAAAATCAATTTATGAATTGATGTTGAGGGATGATGATGATGCGGCAGTGGGGCTGATTTGTGGCAGTGATGATACATGTGTGTGGGTTATGAATTGATGTTGAGGGATGATGATGATGCGGCAGTGGGGCTGATTTGTGGCAGTGATGATACATGTGTGTGGGTGATTTGTGGTGGTATCTATACAGACAATATATATATATATATATATATATATATATATATATATATATTTATTATATCTTGTCACTAATTGTTGAGGAGAAGAAATTAATGGCTTGTCACTAATTGTTGAGGAGCAAAAATTAATGGGCTGAGTTTGATCTGTTATAGTTATATATATATATATCTGTCACTAATTGTTGAGAAGCATAAATTAATGGGCAGTGGAAGCAGTAATTTGGCTGAGATATGCAAGAAGAAGAAGATGTTGATGATGTTTGTGATGTCGTTGCTTGAAATATGAAGAAGATGTTGATGATGTTTGTGATGAGATATGCAAGAAGAAGAAGATGTTGATGATGTTTGTGATGTCGTTGCTTGAAATATATATATTACATTACAAATTAAAGAAAGAAAAAAGGAGAGAGGGTGGGAAGGAGCCACAGTGGCGGTGGGAAGGCGGGCCTTATTAATTTGCAATTGAACCTAATTGAATTGGTATACGAATTTCTGTTAAAATCACAATGTTTTGATCTTGATCAGTTATAGTTGTGTATGTATATATATGATATACTATAAATTAGAGAGAGGATAAAGGAGAGAGGGTGGGAAGTAGCACAGCGGCGGTGGTCTAGTGGAAGAAGACAATCACGTGGAGGAGGTCGTCTCCTCCGCTGCCACCTTTACCAGCGCAACCAAATCTTGGTTTATGGGGCGGTGATTTGTGAATTGAAGTATTGCGTCAAAGGGACAACACAGATTGATCCTAAAGCTTTGTCGACGCGGAAATGCCGACACCGATCAAATCTGTACCCAAATTTCGGGTCTGGGTTAGAGTGGTGGTGGACTGTTGTCTGTATCTATATACATAGATGAAAAGGGTAATTTGGGTCATTTAAGTAGTTGGATATATTATAATAATTAAAATTAATAAAATAGTGAAGGGTAAGATGGACTTTTTACATGTTTTAAGGCTTTTACAAAGAGGAGTGATTGTCCAAAAATAAATAAATTTTTACCTGTTTGTCCTTACTCCAAATAACAGGAGGTGGAGGTGTTTCTGTACTATACAAAAAAAAAAAAAAAAAAATCACGATGAATTGCTTGCATTAGAAGATGCAGAGATTTTATGACGTTAGATCGCAAAATGACTTATCATTGATGGTGACCATAAAAAGACTATATGGCACGTTCTCTTTCCACAATTTGGAACAACGTATTTCCCCATAATAATGTATATTGTTTGGTAACGAAAATTACAAGGAGAATTACCAATGGGGCATTAGCTGCAATTTACCAACTAGCTGCTACTCCAAAACTCTCGACACACAGTTTGGTTGTTGAATACAGGGTATTATGGTAATACTCTGATGCAGGAAATAAAGAATTCAAGAAATTTATTTTCAGTCCTACCAGACCATAATTACCCTCCAGCTAGCCAATGAATTTCTGCCACCCCTAGCAATTTCATACGGTAGTAACCTGCAAGTAATTGGAGGTAGAGTCTGCTTGACCAGAGTGGGACTGTGGGAGTCAAGCTCAAGTAAAAACATTGCACAAGCAACTTTCCCTAGAAATTCCCTTGAAATTTCCCCCTAACCAATCACATTCCATGCCATGTCAGTCAAGCAAGACTCCAGGTCAATGGCTGACGGAAGACAAAAATATCCTCTTTCCACACCCATGATTCCCCTAAACTAGAACCCAAAAGCAGGGGCAGTCCTAGTAATCTTCCACTCCCTTCCCCCTACAAATGAAGCAAAGGAAGAGAACACAAAGCTTTGCAAACAAACTTGTTATCAATTTGAGCGCATATTATTGAAAACAAATCAAAAGATGCCTGGTGGGCTTGAAGAAGAAATTGGGGTGAGTGATGAGCTTATCAAGAAAGCTTGTACACTCTCCAAGAAAGCTCACACTTCATCTAAAAATCCATTTGTGAGTGAGAAAATTCGCAGTTCATCCGAGATTGTTTTTGGGTTCTCTGGATCTTGGTCTGTGCCTGATTGGTTCACTGAAAATGGTTTTTTTGGGGCAATTAAGGTTGATCGTCTAAAGTTTCCTTCTCTCAGAAGCATCGGCACCGACGAAGTCGCTTCGGTGAATGATGCATTCATGGGGAGATTTGAGAAGATTCTAGCAACATCATCGCTCAAAGATGAGGTACACATTTCAGTTTATTCTTTTTTTCATTGCATTGTTATGAGATTTGTAGTTGACTACATATTAATAATTTAATATATTGGTTACCATCCATTACACAAAAAAAAATAATAAAAAATAAAAAAAATTAATAATAATAATAATGAAGAAGAAGTAGAAGAAGAAGAGAATATGTATATATATTTATACACACAGAAAGTTCAAGCAAAGTTGCACACACCATGAACTGCAATTAGCAGGGGTGAATACAACACCTCTCTAAAGAGATCATACCATGTGCAAATGTCCTTTAGTTTATATATATATATATATATATTTATTTATTTATTTATTTATATTTATATTTGTTACCATCATTTGGTTAAAATTTTCATTGCAATGCTATGAGATTTGTAGTTGTTCATTGCTAGTGCTAGTTTTTCTTTTCATTTCTTTTTATTTTTCTATTTTCTTTTGTTCTTTGAGGACTTTATGGTGTGCAGTTAAATAATACTAGTAATAATAAGTTGCAATTCTACTTGTGAAAAATGAGGGGTATTTTATCATTTATGTGCCAATTTACAGGCTACTGAATAAGTATGTTAAATATTTCTCTTTAATGAATCAAAATCAGTTCAGTTTGAAAATATTAAATATTCAATTTGCTGTAATTGTACAAGTAAAAGAATCTAAATCAACCTTTTTAATTTACTTCCACAACCCTGTCAATGAGAATGGAACCAATTCATTCCAATGTTCCAAAGTTAATTTGATTTTTTTCCCCCTAATACCATTCTCTGAAAGTTGAAAATTCAATCTAATGTAACAAATGTGATTTTCAGGTAGAGAAAGCAGTCAAAAAGAATCAGCAAGTAGTGTTTGCAGGGCACTCTTCAGGTGGTCCAGTGGCCATTCTTGCAACCGTCTGGTTTTTAGAAAATTACATAAGAACAGACAGCAGCCAAAAGCCGCCTCGCTGCATAACATTTGGATCTCCTCTTATTGGTGATCGGATTTTCCCACATGCTCTTAGGCGAGAGAAATGGGCTGATTGCTTCACACATTTTGTGAAGAAGTATGACATCGTCCCTCGTCTAATGCTCACCCCTCGTGCGTCCATTGAACAACAATTAGGGACAATTCTCGCTTACTTCAACCCAAAATCCACGAATTCCCAGCGTGAATCTATTGAGAGAGCCACAGACACTTCAGTTTTCTGTATGACAGTGATGAGAAATGCGTCGTTAGTTGCAAGTCACGCGGCTTGTAGTCTCAAGGGGAGCAACAATTTGATGTTGCAAACACTAACCAACTTTATACAAGTTAGTCCTTACAGACCTTTCGGCACCTATATATTCTGCTCTGGGAATGGAAAACTGGCTGTTGTGAAGAACCCCGACGCTGTTCTGCAATTGCTGTTCTACTGTTATCAGCTGAGCAGTGAAGCAGAAGCTGGAGAGGTTTCCATTAGAAGCTTAAAGGAACATTTGGGCTATGAAAGTGAATTGAAAGAAAGCCTGGAAATGCAGGATGTGGTTTTGTTCGATCCCACTAAAGAGTTCCCTTTGACTTCAGATGGCAGTGCACTTCCTGAGGCTGCAACAATTAACACGACCTTGAATGACCTTGGCCTGGTGAGTGTTGATACTGTCTTTTATAATGTAAATTGTGTGACCTGTAGGTCACTTGTTCGAAATGGGAAACAACCTCTCCACATACCGAACTAAAGTTGCAGCTGCATACATCTAACTCTCCTCAGACTCCGCAATAGTGGAGCATCGTGCATTGGACTAGCTCCTTTTGTTTTTCTTTATATATATTTTTAAATCTGCAGAAAAAATTATGTAGGCTAACATTTGATTTGGTAAAATTTAAACTTTAGTTGAAATTTGAATCTTGATTATCCTTATAATTGTCAAATAATTAATTGTTGAAGACCCTAACTAATTTCAAGTGCTTGTTGGATTCCAGAGCACAGCAGCCAGGTTGTGTCTTCGCGCTGCTGGAGAATTAGAGAATCAAAAACGGAGAAACCAGGCTACGGTTGATTCCAAGATAAATGATATTGAAGAGAGACAAAATATCATAAAGGAGTACCAAACTAGATGTAGAGTTCAGAAGACCGGTTATTATGATGCCTTCAAGATCCAGGGACTCAAGGATGACTTCCATGCTAACGTGACGAGGCTGGAGCTAGCAGGCATGTGGGACGAGGTTATGGAATTTTTAAAAAAGTATGAACTTCCTGATGAATTTGAGGGCAGGAAAGAGTGGATAGAGCTAGGAACCAAGTTCCGGCGATTGGTGGAGCCTCTGGACATTGCCAACTACTATCGGCATGCGAAGAATAAGGATACTGGATTTTACATGAAATTGGGTATTAGGCCAAAACGTTATACATTCACCCAAAGGTGGCTTGAACATGCTGAGAGGAAGGAGCCCAATGCCTGCTCGGAATCCTGTTTTTGGGCTGTGATGGAGGAAAAAATAGCTAGTAACAAGAAATCGCCTGAGGACGTGGAGGAGATCGTGACAGAAGCACTAAAATGTGTAGAGGATGAGGAGATAGCATTAGCAGGTAAGGATGTCTTCTTGGAAAAATCTACCTTTGTCCAGTGGTGGGAAACACTTCCTGACCACCTTGCACAAAATCCTCGCCTTCTTCCGCATGTAAGCCACTTGAAAAGGAATTCAGGATAGAGGCATTTGCTTATGAAAGGTTCAGACTATTTCAAACAGTTGAGCTCCAAACTTTGTTCCCTTTTCATAGTATCATGTAGTTCATGTGAAAACAATAAGATTACTCTAGTCTCTAGCTATATGTATGCAAAATCTTGTGTTTGAATGAGCAGTTTAAACTTTGTTCTCTTTTCGTAGTATCATGTAGTTCATGTGAAAACAATAAGATTACTCTAGCTATATGTCTACAAAATCATGTGTTTGAATGAGCTGTTTACTTGTCAATTTTTCCATACTCATCCACAAACAGCAATACAAACATACATCATAGTTGCATAATTGTCGTTCACATCCTAAGGGATGACATTGATAAAGAAAAGAAAATCAGTTCAGTTCACTGCAAGGCATGAGCTCTGCTTTAAAATTTGAATTTATGGAGCCTAGAAATTTTGACTCGTATAGAAGTAATGATCAGTCAAGTAATTGAATTTGCAGGTGATGAACTAGTGTAATTTTTAAGCTACAAGTGTTGTGAAAATCAAGAAAAAAGGAGAGAATTGTGTAAATATCATTAGTTTCTTTGGTTTTGCAAAGGGATAGACTAATTTTTTTTTTTCCCCGGGCAACTGGGGTGTGCAGGGCTTCACCCAACTAATCCAAGCGACCCATCCACACAAATCGGGTAAACTCGAACTACATGGATAGACTAATTCTTAGTAAAGCATGAATACCACATAAACTGAATGCACTGCTGATTCTAAACAGCAGACCTAGAAGCTCTATAGTAATGGAGAATAATAATACCCATCATTCAAATTACATATGGTAAAAATAGGTTCCAAACTCACCCATGAGAATTGGAAGAAACTTAATTGTCATTCCTTTTGGGAGCAATAAGAACAACAACAATGATGGATTCTAAAACCATTGAACTTTCCAAGCCAAAATAGAAAAAAATAAAATAAATTGAAGCTTGTGAACCATTGAGATTGATGAACAAGATATAAAAGACTCCAAACATGCCTAAGGATGGCAATTTTCCCTGACTTGCCTAGGTTTTCGCCCCGCCGCCACGCCTCTAATAGGGTGAATTTGGTAGCTCTCTAAATGGATTTGGGGTGAGTATGGTAAAATAATTAAAAACACGAAGTGGATTTTGGACGGGGGAGGGTTTAGTGACGAACCCACCCTGACCCTGCCCCTGCCCCGATTATACATATACCATTAATATATATATAATATTTTTAATATTTTTAAAACCTTTGTTATTTTGTTGAAGTGTTGGTTTATATATTAAACCAGTTCAAGTCCCTCAGATCAATAAGGAAACTTGTTTTCCTAATTTGGCTTTCTTTTTTGGACAGACTTTGGCTATATTGAATATACACGAATTTGACTTGGTTTCCAAGTATTTTTAAATTTTCGAAACTTCTATAAAATCTTTTTTTTACTCAAAATTAGTGATGGCTTTTAGGAACAAAAATTCATTATATTGAGAGAGCCTTTTTGAGAGACATTCTTCAGAAAATCAAACCTGAATTTTCTGATTTTGTTTTGAGAGCACACACATAAACAAATGAGTGATTTCGGAGTGTTGTTCTCTATCTCATCGGAATTGGAGCTTAATTAAAGATTCATTTATTCCGAAAAGCAGATATATCTTATTTCTTTTACAACAAATTCAGATTCGAAGAAGAAGATTTTCCAATCACACTTTGAAGGGAGCAAAGGCATTCGCGAAGTGTTGTTGATCTATCAGCAATCCTTCTACAAGGTTCGAGGCATAAGTTTGAAGTCAAAAGCTGTTGGACAGGAAGTCGCAAAACCAAAGATGTTCAGTAGATTGAGTCTTGGTAGAGTGAAGGGGTGTAAATCCGAGTTAAAGTTCGATGTACTTTGCTTCATACATAATGGATCATTTATGCTCGGGACATCGCAAAAATCCTCGAGATTTTCTCGGTAGCTAAAATCCTGATGTCATTTTTCTAACCTTGCTTTACTTTCCAATATTTAGTTTTGTGATTGTGGATGTTTAATTGATCATACTTGTGAGTAAATTAATTAGTCATAACAATTGTGCAAGTTGACCTAATCACCTCATCTCGGTCATTTAGGGTGTTCATCATAATTAATCAACTAATACCTTCCGCACCGCGTAACTCACAGAAGAGTCTCACTCATCATCAACTGGATGCCACATCTTCCGATTTTGTTTGTTTGATCGGTTTATAAAATATTTTTTCAAATATATATATTATTTTTCACCTTGGCATTAAATTCTCTTAAACATTCACTTTGCCTTCCTGTTCTTTCTACTTTGGAATGTAAGAGATAACTCTAGAAGTGCCATTTAATATTCTCCCCCAATGAGAAACTTAAACTAATAGGTAGTGCTAACACCCAACACATATATACCCAATCACTTTCCCGATCTGTGGGACAAAACCCCTTTAACACTAGTCCTTTACTTTCCACACGTATGCCAGTTGAAGACATGGAAATAATTTGGTGTAGGGAATAAAGAACTCGAAGAACTTTAATTTAGTCATACCAAATCATAATAGCTAGGGTTGCAAATGAATTTAATCGAATCGAGTCGAATTTAAGTGGGCTCAAGAACTTTAGTTTAATCTTACAACACCATAATACCTAGAGCAACACTAAACTAACCAAATAAGAAGGGTCCATATTCATGCATCAAACGGGTGCCACATTTTAATATATATATGCACACACGCGTATTAATTCACTCGAGAAAAATTTAATTGTCACAATTACATATTTGGTAATTAGGAATATCCAATAGGAATTGAGATTTGTTTGAAAATTCCAGTTTTAGTCCAAATTGAAAAACAAAACACAATGGGCCGCAGTCCTATAAGAGCAGCAAAAACCAAAGGTATAGTTGGCACTTCTCTGCGTTTCAAAATGAAAGCATTTAAATACTTATAGGAAAAGAATATGCACTGAAGTTGCAGTCTAATAATATTTTATTTATCTCTTAAAATGAATAGTAAAAATTCGAGTTCCCATAAAAATACAAGTAAGCTTACAAATTTCTTCTGGCCAATAAAAAATAAAAATCTAATAGCTAAACCTTTTCTATTATAAATAAATCTTGAGATTATCAAGGAGACATCATTCATCATAAATAATGTTAAGAACAGAGCTGCAATGTACCCAACTAGCTACTTCTCCCAAACTCTCGACACATTTGGTTGTTGAATACAGGTATTATGGAGGAAAAAAAATATATATATATACAGGTATTATGGTAATACTCTGATGCAGGGAATAAAGAATTCAAGAACTTCATTTTTAGTCTTCCAGATCATAGTTACCCTCCAGCTAGCCAATGACATTGCCGCTGGAAGCAATTTTCCCTAGAAATTCCCTATAAAATTTCCCTAGAAATTTCCCACTAACCAGTCATCCGAGTCAGTCAAGCAAGACCCCAAGGTCTGCTTTAACTAAAAAAACAAAAGACCCCAAGGTCTGGCTGACGAAAGACAGAAATATCCTCCATCCACGCGCGTGATTCCCCTAAACTAGAACCCAAAAGCAGGGACAGTCCTAGTAATCTTCCACTCCCTTCCCCCTACAAATGAAGCAAAGGGAGAGAGCAAAAGCTCTGCAGACAAACTTGTCATCAATTTGAGCATATTATTGAAAACAATCAAAAGATGGCTAGTGGGAGGCTTGAAGAAGAAACTGGGGTGACTGATGAGCTTATCAAGAAAGCTTGTACACTCTCCAAGAAAGCTCACACTTCATCTAAAAATCCATATGTGAGTGAGAAAATTCGCAGTTCATCCGAGATTGTTTTTGGGTTCTCTGGATCTTGGTCTGTGCCTGATTGGTTCACTGAAAATGGTTTTTTTGGGGCAATTAAGGTTGATCGTCTAAAGTTTCCTTCTCTCAGAAGCATCGGCACCGACGAAGTCGCTCGGGTGAATGATGCATTCATGGGGAGATTTGAGAAGATTCTAGCAACATCATCGCTCAAAGATGAGGTACACATTTCAGTTTATTCTTTTTTCATTGCATTGTTATGAGATTTGTAGTTGACTACATATTAATAATTTAATATATTGGTTACCATCCATTACACAAAAAAAATAAAAAATAATAATAAATTAATAATAATAATAATAATGAAGAAGAATTAGAAGTAGAAGAAGAAGGTAATATGTATATATATTTATATATACAGAAAGTTCCAGCAAACGTGCACACACCACGAACTGCAACTAGCAGGGGTGATAGCAGGGATGAATACAGCCCCTCTCCAAAGATATCATACCATCTGTGCTAGTGTCCTTTAATATATATATATATATTTGTTACCATCATTTGGTTAAAATTTTCATTGCATTGTTATGAGATTTGTAGTTGTTCATTGCTATCCCATCCAAATGCTAGTTTTTCTTTTCATTTCTTTTTATTTTTCTATTTTCTTATGTTCTTTGAGGACTATATGGTGTTGCAGTTAAGTAATAATAATAAGTTGCAATTCTACTTGTGAAAAGTGAGGGGTATTTTCAACTTTCATAGCAATGTTCCAAAGTTAATTTGATTTTTTTTCCCCATAATACCCGTCTCTAAAAGTTCAAAATTCAATACAATGTAACAAATGTGATTTTCAGGTAGAAAAAGCAGTCAAAAAGCAGCAGCAAGTAGTGTTTGCAGGGCACTCTTCAGGTGGTCCAGTGGCCATTCTTGCAACCATCTGGTTTTTAGAAAATTACGTAAGAACAGACAGCTGCCAAAAGCCGCCTCGCTGCATAACATTTGGATCTCCTCTTACCGGTGATCGGATTTTCCCGCATGCTCTTAGGCGAGAGAAATGGGCTGATTGCTTCACACATTTTGTGATGAAGTATGACATTGTCCCTCGTATAATGCTCACCCCTCGTGCCTCCATTGAACAACAATTAGGGACAATTCTCGCTTTCTTTAATCCAAAATCCACGAATTCCCAGCGTGAATCTATTGAGAGAGCCACAGACACTTCAGTTTTCTGTATGAACGTGATGAGAAATGCGTCGTTAGTTGCAAGCCACGCGGCTTGTAGTCTCATGGGGAACAACAATTTGATGTTGGAAACACTAACCAACTTTATACAACTTAGTCCTTATAGACCTTTCGGTACCTATATATTCTGCTCTGGGAATGGAAAACTGGCTGTTGTGAAGAACCC